GCAAATGTGTTATCTCTGTCAATAGTAGTAAGAAGGTTAAAGTAATGTAACAACGTATTCAAACTCTTCTAATGTTCTAGCAGTTTTCTATCGAATCAGTTCATGTTTGTGATAAATGCATAAAATCCGCAGTCTTGTTATGACTAAACTAAACAAATTTATCTGATAAATAATGATTATGGACAACGAACATAAAATGTCGATCCCATATAATTATGACTTGTAACTAAGATCGAAATAATAATTATAATGCAACGATCTTCTCCGTTCTGATTATTAATTATTATCTTTGAGATCGTTTTAAGCTCCGCTCATGGCTACAATTAAGCGAGATTTCTGAATCAAGGCAGAATGCATGCTGTTTTACGAGGCTATCCAATCGAGTTAAATGATCGCTCTGACGCGTTTAGGGATCGTAAAATTACCCGTTCTTACAATTATCATTAACACTGGAAAATAGTCCTATTATAAGAGAACGGCTACAAAGAAATTACGTCAATTAAATTTAATACTTACAATTTTAAATATGTTTTGCTTTCAGAATATCATAAGGTTATAATTTAGCGTTTATCTCTTTATTGATACAAAATCATGAGTATTTCATGTGAATATTTTATTGACTAGACGCGGACATTTTCTTCATTAGACGAAATATAAAACAAAAAATCAATAAAGAATTTCTTCTGTTATTTTCAAAATTGTTAATGGCTTCCTTCTTGTTTACCATCAATAAATATCACTTTGCAATCATTTGAATTAATTAAATTATTAAATTATATCATTTTATGTTTCGAAGAATATATTTCGTTTTCATTTTGAGAGAAAATAAACGTACATTTACAATATTAAGTTATGTTTCTGAGATGCCGATGCTCCGAAGTGCGAATTATGATTTTAAAATGTTTTAATCTCATTCTCAGTACTGTTTGAAACATATTCCATCGGATTTAGTAGCAAACACCTAATAAAATGATAATTAACGGAAAGCCAGCTCGATGGTGAACAAACAAAAAAAGGCCACCCTACGCATCGATTTCAATTTCAAATGAAAAACAGTAGGCGACAGTCGGATGTCTGTGTTTTAGACAACTGTGCTGAGAAACATTCGTAAACAAATTGTATTTAATTCTCTCGTAAAGAAAGTATGGAATAGAAGGAAATTTATTCTGCATTTATCATATATTTTCAATTTATTATCGCGCGTGCAATTACCTGCAATCCAATTGCACGAAATATCCAGCGAATTTCCGTTACTTCTGTGCACCTCTCGAACGCCAGGCTACTGCATTTCGAGGCGCATGTACTCAGCCAACATTCAAACTCAATTTTCTAGGATACGAAGCGGGAACAGAAAAATTTCGTTCTACGGTTCTTATTTAAGTTTTCGTGTAGAATCATCAGCCTTCTATTATCACTGTTGGTTCTTGGACGTACTATGTACGTATATGGAGCGTGATATAACAACTTGTACTGGATAAAACAGTATTCGCACAATTTTATTTGCATGCTGGTGGCAACGCATTTTTAGGGAGAATCTGGAAAGGATGACCGACTTCGGATTTATGATAGGGTTTAAGTATGCACATGGCCTAAAGGATGATGTGGCCTAAACAGACCTAGCGACAGACAACGGTTGACGACATGATAGCCAAAAGATTAACCTTTTAGGTACGGCTGAATTCTGCGCGAGGCTAATTTCTCTGGATGGCAGAGTCTGATGTGTACTGTACAGAGTCTGATACTGTATATATAGGGTGTCCCAGAAATGTCTCGGAATCCGGAAATGGCGCTTTCCTCGGACCATTTGAAGCAACTTCTTCCTTTACAAAAATTTTCTCCGAGGCACTGTTAACGATTTATTAACGAAAAACAGTGACCAATGACAGGCGAGCTCAGCTGGCGCGAGGCGATCGAGCCAATGAGCGGAACTAGGCTTCGCGCGCTGGTTGACTGGGCCGTCTCGCGTCAGCCGTACTCGATTCTTATTGGTCACTGTTTTTCGTTAATAACTCGTTAACAGTGCCTCGGAGAAAATTTTTGTAAAGGAAGAAGTTGCTTCAAATGATCCGAGGAACGCGCCATTTCCGGATTCCGAGACATTTTTGGAACACCCTGTAGACTGTTGTAAATCGATGTGAAGACAAAAGAAGTGTGAAACAATGCATATGAAGACGATTATTTGATTCAAACGATGAGCGAATGAGCTACTAGATCAAGCCACTATAGTGGTGCGTCGTCCAGAGAGATGACATCCGCGAAAGCAACTATAGTGGCGTGTCGTTCTGAAAGATGATATCCGCGGAAGCCACTATAGTGGCGCGTCGTGCCTAAAAGGTTAAGCCAGATTTTAAATTGAAGGAGAGGGGATTTGGTCACATGACGCACCGGGACTCCCGTACAACGAAGTGGAAGGCGTAGCCAGGGGACTCGCAAAAATAAATCATTGAATGAGTGGGGATAAGTGACGCATGACTGCGTCCCGTACAGCAGCGTGGCGCGTCAACTGGGTGAACTAGTATCAGACAGAGATTCTACGTCGCGTCACGAACGGAGTTCAGAATTATAATGTTTATGCGGTAAACGCGCCACGTCGCTATGCGGGACTCCAGCGCATTTGTCACTTATCCTCACTCATTCGATGACTTATTCCCAGGGCTGGGGAAAAATAGTAAATATGAAATAGTAAATAGAATGTAAATATTTTTATATTTTCTCTTGTGTGTAGTCACATATGGAAATAGTATTGTGAATTAAGTATTTCATTAAAATATAGGAAAATAATATTTCATCAAATAGTACTATTTCACAGATTAGTATCTAGAATAATGGTATTGCAACTAATAGTATTGCAAAGAAGAGTTTTCTTTCTTTAGCTTTCTATAGTACCGTGTACTACAACCCAACACAAGAAATATACCTAAACATATACACCTGCGCTCAGAAATATTTGCAAGAAATATTCGACTAGAATATCGCGAGCGACAGTTGCGAAATATGTTTAATTTAAAAATTTGCGTATCTTATTTTCAGTTCATTATTTTCTATATTTGAATTCGAGTGTAAGCAGTAAATAGCATTTTCCCATGATTTAAACATTTAACGAAATAGTATTTCCAAATAGCGAATATTTCAATTTTACTATTTTATATCAAATTATTTCAAATTTTCCCCAGCCCTGCTTATTTCTCTGAGATACCAGGCCATAGCGGGTGTCCCTATTCTATTGTATTATACCGGTATTGTATTATCGCGTCCGTAGTCCCGGCGCACAGCGATTTAGAACGCTAAAAAACGCGAACTAAAGTCAAATCTTCGATCTTGTTGAAAATGCATGCTTACAGGTTCTTAAATGTATGAACTAAATTGAATCGATGTCCTGATTTGATATGGGAGGAATTACATTTTTTCATTCTTTCATTTTGTTTCTTTTTGAATACAAAAATTTAATGTCTTATTCAATAAATATTAATCAATTATGTCCGAAAACGAACCAAAAGCACAGTAATTGGTCAGGCGCCAGATTAAAATCCCTGCTAGTTCCCGAGACATTTGGAAAAGCACATTTCCAACCCTCAAATTTAAGGGCTGTTATCACTCCTTTAACTCTTTGGCTACTGTTGACTACTATAGGCGTTTTGAAGACCTGATACTGATACACTATTCGCGTCTACAGACGTCTGACAAATCTTATCAGAATCCCATCAGTACCTTATCATAAATTATTAAAATGAACGCGTGTAATATGGTTAAGTGTTTCGACTGTTTTGGTGTAAATCTAAAAAGAAACACCTTGATGAAAATTTTACAGTAGCCAACGGGTTCATGTGGGCGACAGTCACCAAAAAGATAATTAACACGTTTAGTGCCACGTCAGCCATCGGTGACCGACACTAAACTTTCCGTTTAGGCCGCGTCTACCATCGGTGACTGACAGTGTAAAATATGATATAAAACTAAAAACTTTACATTGTTTTCATAAATTTTAAGTAATTTCAGGATTGTACCGATAATGTACTTAAATATTACTTATCGAAAATCTTTAATGGATTTTATTGAAACAGTTTAAACAAAAAAACCGTTGTCCTTCAAATATGGCAACTTACGTGGTCTAAACTGAATTTACTTGTTATTATTATATATTATTATATGTATTAATAATAATACTAATAATAATAATACTATTAATAATAATACTAATAATAATAATACTAATAATAATAATACTATTAATAATAATACTAATAATAATAATACTATTAATAATAATACTAATAATAATATTAATAATAATAATACTATTAATAATANATAAAACTAAAAACTTTACATTGTTTTCATAAATTTTAAGTAATTTCAGGATTGTACCGATAATGTACTTAAATATTACTTATCGAAAATCTTTAATGGATTTTATTGAAACAGTTTAAACAAAAAAACCGTTGTCCTTCAAATATGGCAACTTACGTGGTCTAAACTGAATTTACTTGTTATTATTATATATTATTATATGTATTAATAATAATACTAATAATAATAATACTATTAATAATAATACTAATAATAATAATACTATTAATAATAATACTAATAATAATAATACTATTAATAATAATACTAATAATAATAATACTATTAATAATAATACTAATAATAATATTAATAATAATAATACTATTAATAATAATATTAATAATTAATTATATATAATTAATAATTAATTCTGCATGCTCTCGATAACTGTCAAGAAGACCTCTACGATAACTGTCAAAATCGTAGCCTCACCACGAGGGGATCCCCGTTGGAAACAATTAAGCGTTGAACACGCTTGACAACCGAGCTAGCGACAGGTAGAATGTCGACGAGGTTATGCTTCTCTAACTTCGGAAGCATGCGAAGAATATAGTATCAATCATGGAGGAAATGCTGTATTACCATTTAAACAAACTTCAACGCTCTCTTCTGGACGTCTTCCATTAAAATAATGAATTTTTGTTTCACAGCAGCTGTTTCGAAGCCTTCCATTCGAACTGCTAAGGAACCTTCCTCGCTTCTTTCGATCATGCAAACCACAAGACTCCACGAGGATGAGGAAACTCGATGATGGCAGGTGGAACGATAGAGTGATACTGAACGTCGGCGGCATACGACACGAAACGTACAAGTCGACGTTAAAGAAAATACCTGCGACACGGCTTTCCCGTTTGACAGAGGCTCTAGCCAATTACGATCCAGTTTTAAACGAATACTTCTACGACCGTCATCCGGACGTTTTTGCACAAGTATTGAACTACTACCGCACTGGAAAACTCCATTATCCAACAGATGTCTGCGGGCCGCTGTTCGAGGAGGAACTCGAGTTTTGGGGTTTGGATTCGAACCAGGTCTGCCGTATTCTTTATTGCACGCGCAGGTGGCTTTTACAGCGAGCTAACAACATGCTTCTACACTCGTGCCAGGAGCATCGGACATAGCATGCACCGATTTCAACGAGATTTGGCAGGCTGATATCTACAATAAGCGTAGCTAACATTCTAGCAGTACATGGGCAGTCAATTATGAGAAAATTGAATGTAAAATTTTAGAAATTTGGTAGGCTGCGACGCTTGTCGTTACACCGTATCTGCTGTTAGATATATGCGATTGTGCTATTGGAATATACATACGTGTTCACAGCAATTTTTATGAACTTTAAAACTAATTTTCTCATAATCGACTGACCTTATAAGGCTGAAATTTTAGCTACGCTTATTGTAAGTAGAAATGAATCAATCAGCCAAATTTCGTTGAAATCGGTGCGAGCCATGTCCGATGCTACCCTTATCATTTTGCTTAGACACTTTTATTGATTAAAGCGATATTAAGTATTACTGCTAGTAATGGTAACAGCAACTGTAATTTGGCAATATTAAAACTAATAGAGTCAGTGTAAACAGTATTCGTACACTGTTTTTTCGATTTTTGACAAATTGCTGATATTTGAACTGTTATAATTTCGTAAGAATGAGTCAGACCATAAATAAATTTGGTCTCATTTTAAAGCCTCTAACGTCACAATTCTTCGATTAGATCTTCTACAACATATAGCAAACGGAAAACTGGAAACATAGCTTTACACGATAATGTTATAAATTGAAACGTCTCCAAAACCATTGACATATTTTGTTCACGAATAAATCGATCATGGATTTGAAGACTGAAGCTTCCCCTTTACAATGATTTCTCAAAACTTGGTGTACGACGCTTTCTAGTCGTTTTATGAAACAGAAACGAGGAGCAAGTTCGGTCTCGTGAGCCTTCTGTTACTGTAAAGTAAGCAGTACAGTAATGGAGTCAAGTTACTATTGGATGGCCAATTGCTGTGCCTTTGATTTGTCTTCGGACATAATTAATTTCATCATTATCGAATAATCAGTATTAATCGAAGCCCAATAGAGTGACTAAAAAAAAATCGTACATGAATATTGTTAGGAGCCGAGGGTTAAACGGATCTGCATCGCCAGAAGTTTATAAGATTTGGCATTTGGTAGAGAAATACATGGATTAGCCGATGTCGTTCCATCATCGGGGCAACATTATGGAATAGGTTTTCATGAACTAGTCGATGCCTGTTTCATCATAGAAGCGTCACTAGGTAGGTGAGGGCGTCGTAGACTAGCCGATACCAATTTCATCATCGAGTTGCCACTATGAGGATGGAAGTTTTATGAACTAGGTGTTGATACCGAAACATTGATAATAAATGTGCCAGTTGACACTTTTTCAACAGTTCTTTTAACACTATCTTTCGCCAACTGAATCAAAATACACTTTTTTAAACTTTCATTGGACGGTATTTTCACCAAAATAGTCAATGACCACAACTTTCAAAATTGTGACTTAATACTATTTCCTATTTTTAATCTATTTTCGTCAATTGTCTCGATATCTTTTCGTATAATGATTACAAAATTTGGCCGAGATATGTATATGTAAAAGATCGAAATAGTGTTGAACGAGTGCACTAAACTAACCTCTTCGAACTTTTCAAAAAAAGTGACTCAATTTGAAAAAAAATGTTACGCTGTTTCCAAAGGTGACCGTAAATCAATTTAGATCGCTGAAAATGTATAAAATTCTGCAATACAGTATTTCGTCAATTACAATTTACGCTTGCAGATTTCGCACTGCGAGTATACTTGAATCGTCACTGAATTATTTCATAACTGCATTAACGATTCAGCGCAACTAGCGACAGAAGCAACAGCATCTGCAACACAAATGTGCTTTGACACTGCAGAAAGCGTCTCTTTCGAAATGACAAATCATGCAAACGGTATTGACCCTGCGTGTTAGCAACGTTTGTTTGACGACCATTAGTGTTACAAAGTCGTACTGATCCGACCAAGAAGATTCCACCCTCCAACATTCGTTGCATACGAAATTAAGTATTAACCCTTCACTATTATACCTATTAAAACTTACGTAATCACTATCGATGATCTCGTAGATCGCTAATGTTTATTACGTTATTATTGACATAAAAGTGGTAAATAAAAAGTCGAAATCAATTGTTCTTATTTTGCACATCAATAAAGACGGTCCAACTTGGACAGTTCGATTCTATAGAAGCAAGTGTGGTAAAAACATCCCTTTCTTATACAATATTTCTTTCAATTATATTGCAGATGAATAAGTAATTAGTAGCGTTAAATTTTGGGTGATTTTGGACTTCACTGCCCGGATAACAATAACAGTTTCTTATTAACATCTTTGTGTTTACATTCTCCCTCTTACTAGCTGCACTGCAGCAGTTATTGGTTGCTAGTGACCGCTGTCGACATTCGCCACCATCTTCGGCCAATAACGACCGATAGTTACGGCAATGGGGCAGCTAGTTAGATGGGGAATGTAAACACAAAGGTGCTTTCTTGCGCGAGGACAATACATACATACCGTGATAAAACTATAGGACATTCCTCAATTTCTAGTGTTTTTAATCCTTTGCACTCCGCTGTCCCCTCCCGTGGGACATCGTAATTCTAGCATATCACTCGGATGTGCCCTCTCGTGGGACATTAAAGTTTATTAGTGATTACGGGGAATTGAGTTATTTCAACGCAACTCTTTGAGACATGCATGTTTCCCTGAAGTTTTCTCTTGAAATGACACAAGAAATCAAATCAAAATATAGTAAAATTACTAAGCTATATACAAGAAATGTCAGCGGGTTTTGACGAGAACGTGAGAGGCGTGCTCACGACGGTCCGAGCACTTCAAAGGCGCCATTTGAAAAGAGCGATAAGGCAAGTTTGTTGAAGAAAGGTCGGTATGCGAACATAGCACGCTCTGTATAGTAAGATTTATAATCATAAAATCTGGAGGAAAAGATTTTCAAAGCTGAACTCAGTCTGGTTTGAAGCGTCGAGCGGTATAGATAGATCTAACGAGTGAGAAAATCGGAAAAGTGATTCTTCTCTTGGTAAATAAATTGTTTGGTAAAAGTTTTTTTGGTAAATATCATCTTGTGAGTTAGTAATAACAATTAGAAATTTTCAACCTATGTATTTATTCATATTTTTTATTAGAACAATGGCAAAACGTTCAAACACGAATGAGTCTCATGACACAAGTAGTAGCGAAGATGAGCTCCAGATAGACGTTTATACAGATATGTTAGAAAGACTAACTGTAGAAGGTTTTCTTCTACAGTTAGTCTATCGTTTTGATAGCAGTGATAGTGATATCGTCCAAGCAACAAGGCGACGAGAGAAAGAGTTCGCATAGATAGCGATTACAACAACAAAACAAAATTACAAAACAAACAATAACAAAATTATAAAAAATAAAATATTGATTTTTTTGCAAATTTCTCGATTTCAGCCAATTCATATAAGTCCAATATCATAATAATATGTTAGTTACTTCCAAAACCATACTAAATAATACGAGGGTCTGTAAATGCCCGTTTCTGCCGAAAAGTGGCGCTGAGTAGCTGGTAGCCAACGTCCAGAATGGTTCGGAGTGCTAAGGGTTAAAACCACGGACATGTACAAAGTTTTTGTATATGAACATATACAAAAGTATCCTTTCTGTAGTAACATATAAAAAATTGAGCACTCTTCGTGCTGCTTTACAGTAATGGTAACAGTTTATAAGAAAAACGGGCGCGACAAAACTATAAGACAGGTTGGGTTTTCCGTAAAAAATCAACACATGGAATTCTTTTCGTTAGTTTGTAATAATGTGTATTTCAACCTTTGCTTTTTGCTACTTCCAACATTCTTTGCAGTAAAGATTTATACAGTTTTTTAAATTGTGTTTTGTTTCAAATTCTTTCACGCATCCTCAATAAACATTTTTTATGTCTTCTCTGGAGTTAAACTGCTTTTTTCTTGTATACTTCCTCAGCTGACATTCCCGAACAGTTTTCAATAATATTAAAATCCTGCGATCTTGCTGGCCACGATAAAATATCTATATCCTTATCTTCGAAATAAGCTCGTATTATTCTTGCAGTATGCACAGCTGCGTTATCATGTTGAAAGATATACTTTTGCTTCGCTATTTTTTGTGCATATTTTACATTTTATGTCCATCAACGATATCCACGTACGTCCTACTATTCATTTTTGTCGAAACAAGTTCAATATCCGTCTTCCCATTGTATCCATAGATGCCCACATCATAATACCACCGCTGCTCACTTGCTACACGATTTCTTCTTTCCTCAGATCAGGAAAATAATAATTTATGCCATCAGGTCCATCTAAATTAATATGCTTTCTTGTCAGAAAAGACTATTTTTTTCCACTTTTTACGTCAATGTATCCGATACTCTGCAAATTCCAATTTGGCTTGTATTATATAAGGTGTTCGGGTAATCGTGATACAACCGCTAAGGGGGTGATTCTACATGGAAAAACAAATCGAGAAGGAGGAATAACATTTTTTTATTTAAGGCTCCGTTTTCGAGAAAACTGAGTTGAAAGATGCATCAAATTCGCGTGGCTTGTAATATGACGAGAAGTAGAATTGGTTTATCATGGCCAGACGCGCCAGTTGATTCCTATTCAATAGTATTACTCTTTGAACCTAATTTTTCTCAAAAGCGGAGCCTTCAATAAAAAAATGTTATTCCTCTTTTTCGACTTATTTTTGCATGTAGAATCCACCCCCTTGCCGGTTGTACCATGATTTTCCGAACACCCTGTATATGTTTATCAGTTCGTGGCGGTTGCTGCTTCATTTTAAGTCTTTTCAAATGCTTAGAACCCTTTAGCATATTTTCGCTATTTTTTAGTATATTTTAGCTAACCTCTACACTGTCCTAATACTCGTTCCCACATCGGATTCCGCTGCTATTTGCCATGCTGTCATTGTAAACTACGAAGCATGTCTTAAA